ATGAAATTTCGTGAAAAGTAGCTCTTGGACGTTTAAAAATTTTAGAGAAGAAACGATACTCTCTGGAAGCGATGACTCTCTCTCTCATAGATCAAAATAATTAGACATTAATTTCATTCTCATTCTAATTGATCGTACATCATTTCTTATGGACGAGTAAATTAAACTTGTAAAGTATCCTTACAAGAAGATACAAACTTATATTTCACACTGAAAGCATCGCTTCCGTTATCTACTTTAATTAAACATTTGTTCTTCTTCGTGAATCGTGACATGCTATAAATCATCGAAATGTTGGAAAATTTTCTCAAAGCTCTTTACAACTTTAAATTGCAGTTCCTTCTTCCGATTAAAAAAAAATTTCGCATGTTAGTTGAGCTTGGAGACGAAACACCTTCGAAAATGTCAAACATACATTTTCTTTCATGCCGCACAATAATTCAGATTCAAACAATTTACGATAATGCACGTTACAGATCTATTAAAAAATTCTCCTGAATCTCGTAAATCTTCAAATTTTCTAAATCCCTTAAAATAACCAACACAATTCCACCATCTCACGTTCCACGCTAAAACTTTTACTGAACGAAATGAGTTGTCGATCAGAAGAAAAGAAAGAAAGAAAAAAAAAAAAATAACGCGATATTTCACGCGTGAGACGCGGAGATTGCTGTGCGCGGGCAAATTGCTTGAAAATTTCTGAAAGAAAGAATTAAATGGCTATTATCGCAGCGAGCCGCGTGGCTCGATTTTCTTTCCCCCTTAACGTTCAGCGAGACGAAGGGGCCACGGCGGCACGAGCTTTTGTTTCATGCCATTGATTCGCGATAATTGGCCACGCTCCGGTACTTTAATCGTCATTTCAATCGTCGAAGGGAAAGTGTTTTGTTTCGCGCGCGCCGGGCAAATTAAATGGCATATCGTGGCGCGCGATGATAACCACGCTCTTCAATTTGCTGAAGGTTATAATTTCAATTTAAACTGCCGCGAGTGGACGTGGCTTTATCGATTAAAACGATACCTGCAGTTTCACTTTTTAATCCCGGCATTTAGGGCTTACGCAGTCTGTACAGTATATTTAGTCACGATCCCTCGTTTGTATAAAACTGGATAGCGATGAAAACCGTGGAAATTTCTGACAGCGGAAAGTTGAATTTAACGATTCCGCGATTGTTTCGCGCAGAGATTTATTTATCTGGGAACAAAGTGCCACTAAATGTTAATAAATTAAATTCATTTGTACCCCAACCATTAAACCAGTCGTAATAGTATTCGATGATTTTAAAATTATTACACTAATTTTAATATTACTCGTATTACTCCTATTTTAAATAATTACAGATAGACATTAAAAGTGGTTGTAGTATTGAAAAAAAAAA